CCCAGAGATCCCAGATGTGTCTGTAGATTGTCCGCTCTGGAGGATCTCCCACAGCAAGCAAGGCATGGCTCTTGAAGTAGTGGTTGTGGCTGTTCACTGAGCACCTTTCCTGGGATGACTTGCTTCTGCTTTATGCTGCCGAAGGGTTGTTTATGTACGATGCTTTGTGGGTGGGATGTGGTTTTGTTACTACTCCATTGTTGGACTCTGTTTGGGCAGTATGCCCGTTTATGATTAATGATGTTTTGAGTTGAGGCTCTAAGGCACTTTCAGGCACACTCCAGGTACCACAAGTAAAAGAGGTGTTGTTATCATCAGGGTACTTCAATGTAATATCAAATGTAATCAGAAGTGGATTAATTAAAGCAGTGTGTACATATAAGTCCTTTTATGGTGGATGTTCAAGCAACTCATATGACATAATTTAAAGCTCAATTTTTTTAACTTTTCTAACCCTCTCCTCTCCATGAGAAGGTGGTAACTTGGCAGTAGACGCCAAGACTGCTGTAGGAGGGCAAACCTCTCTTGCCTCTTAGTGAAACATGACTCTTGAAACGGAACTGTGTTCATTTGTTGATCCCAGCCCTGGCAGTTCTTAGGGTTAGTTCTTATGGCCTACACAATTAGTGTAGGCTGGAATCTAATGGTTTCTTGGGTTTCATCTGACTTTGGAGTGAGCAAAAACCTGCAGGAAATCTGTATTTATTGTTGGTCTCAGCTCTACCAGGATTAAACCTTCCTTTCTGCAGCACGCTATACCCTAGACGTGGTTGTCCGTTAGAAAAATTGCCTGGAGAGCAGCTGTCTCTTGTGTCCAGCACCTTGGGCTTTGTGAGGCTGGTGGGTCTTCGCCCCCATGGAGAGGGGACTCAAATTGGGATAGAGGAGGGGTTGACAGGATTGCAAGGTAACCAGAGATATGGATCCTAAATGATTGCCTGAAGCTACCTGTAGCCTCAGTCTGACAAGCACAGCCAAAACCCTCCTCCCCATCTTCATGAACCCAGCGGCAGTGGTGGCTGAGTGGTGTGTGTTGTTAAATTAGCTGTGGAGGAGACCACAAGCTAGCAGACCAGAGCCGTGAGATTCAGATCATGAAGAGCTGAAATGGCAGCTTAGGCTCGGTCTGTGCCAGGCGGATGGGGTGATCTGGGTGTCCTGGTTCAGTGTTTTGGCTCAGACAAAAGCTGCACTGGCCGCATCTGAGCAGCAGTAACCTGTACAGAGGAGGCTGGGAAGCTGGGAGCTGGTGGAAATGTGGGGAAATTGGACCTGGAGCCCACTTGGTATATATCTGAGACTGTTTGCCAGGGATACTATGTTATCTTGATATATGTGAAGCTAGTGACAGAATGTTTGTAAAAGTACTAAACAGGGACAAGATCAAAATGACCCAAAATGTTCAGAGCACTAAAGAAAGGGGGCACTTTTAACATCCTCACAGGTGTTTGAACCAAGCTTGTGACTTTCTGAGCTTCAACTCTGTGATTTGGACAGGGCAGAGACAGGGAATGGGTAGATGTTAAAGCTGAAAATGAACCAAAATGTAAAAACGTTGTCTTTGACATACTCCAGTATTAGCACTATGTGCTGCTTTGGTCTCTCAAGCTACTTTAGTTTACTGCTGGAGAAGGTTGAAAGGTGATTCATTCATAGTTTACAAGTACCTAAAAAGGGAAGAGGTTTCTGGTTGCTAGATGGGATTCAAATTTACCAGAGGAAGGCAGAGAGATCTGTTGGCTGGAAGCCAAAGTTTGAGAAATTCAGGCTAAGAATAAGGGCTGCAGTTTAAACAATATGAATAAAACCCAGTGGAAGGTCTTCGGCTGGCATTAAGCAGACTCATCAGCAGTTAATGGCTCTAAATGAGGATTTCTGTGTTTTTCTAAAAGATGTAGAAATTATGAAGAGAGACTTTCCAGCCCAGCACAGCCCTACCAGGAGACCAAGACTGGGCTTCCCTTTTGACCAGAGCAGCCGGCGCATGGCCCTGGATGCAGCGTCCCCAGGCTTGGGGCTCTGCCTGCTCTTCCCATGCTGCTGTCCAAACACAAGCCACACTTGTGGCAGCAAGGCACACAGATGTGCTGGGCATCAGGGAGCACAGCTCTGTTTCTATGTGCACAGCACTTTTCCCAGATGCAGTCCAAAATATTTCTGGATTGGATTCCCCTTTCACTGGCCTGTCTGATTCAACCAGGCAACTGCAGTCCATGAAGTGTGGCATGCGAGCTGAATGCACAGTCCCTTTCACTCCTGCTGTAAGACAGCCAAAGACATGCAATCTGGGGAGGAAACATGATGTTGTCCCTTTTTCTGGGCAGGACTCTGCTGGAGGGGTGCAATGTAGGCAGAGCCCCTGCCCTGTGTGTCAGTTCCATCTCTGCCATGCTTGGCATGTCTCTTTGGATCTGCCTGTTTAGGAATGTCATGTAATCTACCACTGGTGGCCAAGAGCATGAGGTGTGAGAGGTGCATAGGTTTGGGTGAGATGTGATTCGTGTTGGTGGGGAGGGACTGGGGAGTAGAGACCTTGGAAAGTTTCTTGCTTGTCCTTGACCCTCTCCTTCAACGATCTCCAAGTTTCTGGGCTTTACTCTGCTCTTGCCAGCATTTCCTAGGGAGAGGGGCCGGGTTGACACACCTTTCTCCCAGGCCATGCTGCCTGCTTCATAATTCTGCAGACCGCAAGCCTGGAAATAATACGAAGCAGATGCACCAATGCCAAGGTCAGGACCTTCCCAGTATTTAAAGCATATGTATACTGTTGGCATGGTACAGGGTGACCTCAGTGTACAATAGGAGCCAACCGACACACACATTCAGACAGAATAAATATTTGACAGAGTCTATTTCTCTATTCCCCAAAATGACCCCTATAAAAGCAAGGTCCTGTTTACCTTCCTGGCTCTCCGTGCACAGTGTTCTCAGAAGAGACAAGCTCTCTTCTCCATTCATTGCCTTCCCACTCTTCTGGGTGACCCATTTCCAGGCAAGGATCAGGGATATTGGCTTCACAAAACCTAGGACACCTTGGATTTTCACAGAACTCCTGGAATTTGGGGAAAGCCAAGGCCGTTGTTGTTGAGAAGTCTCTCTGTCTGTGCCAAAGCACAGTGACCTCGGAAACAGTGCAAGACATCAGTGTGCAGCCTGAAGCAATTGCCTGCAGCTGCCCAAGCCGGTTTTTGTGCTGCCCCTGCCCCATTAGCACATGTGCAGCCCTCCCCATCCTGTTGCCTGTGGCACTCTGCAGCAGGCTTGGGTGTGCACAAATAGCCGTTGGGAAGAATATTTGGTGGGGTTTATTATTTTTTTCCTTGGTGTGCTAAACGTGCTTTCTTTGCACTCCTGGATCTTAACTTTTCTTCTGTGCCGTGATGCCAGGGCAGCTGTGCAGCTCAGAGTCAGAGGAAGGTCTGGTGTGCTCGGGACCAGGCCTGCTGCCTTACCCACCCATGCGCTGCCAGGCACCTCTCGTCTCATGGTCACAGACGTTTCTGGGTTTGCCTTTTAGTCACTGTGAGTTTTGCCCAGCCAATTCGTGTTACCCTGAACTGATCCATTTCTGTCCATTTTTGTATCTTTTCAATTAAGGCCAATTTAGCTTCTGATGCCCATGCACATAAAACAAAGGAATATGAGAGTCCTCAGAGCTTCCTACCATGGGACCATATGCCTCATGATTGCTGTGCTTTTTATTTTGTAAAAGATCACTTTCAGAAACCAGTCTTCAAATAAAACTGACCTACAATAACTTAGCTTGGCATGAAGAATGAGGGGAGACATACAAAAGTCTATAAAATAGTGATTGCTCTAATGAAACCCATCCAGTTCCTCCTCCTTTGATTGCTTTTCCATATCACAAGATCAGAATGCACTAGGCAATTAAAAGATGGCTTGTGCATATTAGACAGAGGAAATACTTTGTCTGTAACATATCTTAGACAAGTGGAAACCGTTGTTACCAATATTCTTAGGGCAAACTGAGCAACTTGCTATTTTCTTTTTTAAGGTTAACGCTGAGAATGAAAAAGGGAGTTGGAAGAGTGCAGAGCTGTCATTTGAACGAAAAATTGCAAGCCTGCTAATCCTTTCTTGTCAGGTATAATATAAAGCCTGGCAGGGATTGATAAGTGTCTCTCTCTCTCTCTCTGCCTGATTTTCCAGGTGCATGGTAAAATCACTTCTCTGAAACACCCAGGAAAGCTGACATGCAGACCCAGGCTTCAGACTGGAAAGGCTGCTGGCCAGTCTGACATTGCAGGTCCTAAGACCTATTTAAATAGCTTTATTCTTTCACTTTTCTAACTGCAACCTGAAGAATAGCAGTCCCTCCCCTTCTCATCCTTTATACGTGCAGGCTTTCATTGCAGCCCCTTGCAGTGGCTGGTGCTCTGGTGCTGACGCTGCCGTGCCCAATGACTGTCCGCCTTAGCAGCAGGCACGAACACCCGTGGCACACACGGGGACCGCTCCCCATGACCTGCCTCGGCTTCTTCTGCAGTGAAATGCTCTGGCTGTGGTTTGTGGGGCTGCGGGATTGGCAGCATGCCCATCAGCAGCAGCAGAGGTCATGGAGGTGTCGGTAATCATCGGCAGCAATGTCAGGACACAGGGAAAAATAGTCTCCGAAGAGATGGAGCTCCTGCATCCCTGGCCTGGAGAGCAGAGCAAACCCCTGTGCTAGCAGGAGACACGTGGATCCTGCCTGCGTGAGTGAGGGCAGCCATGGAGCAGCTGAGTCTGGCCACGTGGAGCAGAGAAAAGAAAGAGCGAGCCAGACCCGAGGGCTCCCTCTGTTCCATGTGGATGTTTCTGACTCCATGCTCCTTCCCTGCCTGTGTCCTGGTAAAACCAGCTGGCCTGCAGCCCCTCTCCAGCCGTCAGCAGGGTCAGCAAGCGCTTTTCCCAGGGGAGGGAGCTCGGTGGGCTCACATCGCTGGTGCGCAGCCTCTGAAAGAGGTGGGTTTCACATTGTCTGGTTTCTCTTTTTGTAGCTGTCCCTCCCAAACTGAAGAAACTGAAAAGCCCAAACGTTCATGTCGGTGAAAAGATTTCACTGAAATGTGAAGTGACTGCTGGCAACCCTCAGCCATCCTACAAATGGTTTAAAGATGGCAAAGAGCTGAAGAAGAGCAAAGACATCCGGATCAAGTATGGGAATGGGAAGTAAGTATGCTACCGAGCTGCTGTGCCTCCGCTCACTAACGCTGTGTCTGGGTCCGGGGACAGTCTGGCTGGAAGTGGTGCTGTGCTCTCCGAGTCACTGCTGAGCGACACTGAGATGCTTCCTCTGAGTGGCAGGACCATGCGCAGCCCATTTACCATGCTGGGGAGAGTGCGTGAGATTCCCAGTTTCCTCCAGAGTAGCAGAGCAAGAGGAGCAAGGCGTGCACAGGACAGATGCTGGGTTTGTAGACGGGGCTCTCCTTTGGTGACTGTGTCATGGGGATATGTCAGTGACCTGGGGAGAGAACTCTTTCTCTGCTGGCTGTAGACTGGTTGTAGGCAGTCAGGTTACCTGGGGTGGATCCTGCTTTGTGATCAGGGGTTTGAGTGCAGAAGCTGTTCAAACTCAGCATTCGCCCCACCAGCCAACAGGGCGTGCTTAAATGTGGGAGGAATTGCTTTGTTCTCTCCTAAATTTGGGTGGATTTGAAAGCATCTATGGCAATTCCAAGAATGCAAGACCACGCCAGGGTACAGTCTGGGTAGGGCCCGTAGCCACCCGCTGAGGTGTTGTCTCACGCAAGACCTTGCGTCGCTGCGCCCAGGGCCAGCTCCATTGTGGCTGGTGCAAACTCCCCATGCAGCGAAGCTCTTGGGCAGCTGCCCACAGTGAGTGTCATCTCAGGGACCGCCTCGTTCGGGCAATGCAAAAACACCAGGAGACATTGGCCCCAGTGACTGAACTAAGGGGCTGTCACTGGAAATTGATTTAAATGGATCCATGTTGATATTTTACAAGGCCAAATATTTACATATGATGTGTCTTAAAATTATTCCATAGTCATGGCTATGCTTACATGTATGTATCCTGACCTAGCCAGCAACAAAGTCAGCTCGCAACTGCCTGACCCTTTGGAAATCTTGAAACAAATTCTTTTCTGAGATATGTTATGTCTGAGTGTGTGAAAAATAGCTCATCTCTTCTCATTATGGACTTGATAGAGTATTAATTTTTAAAATTATAAGCCACTACAACATCAGTTAGTGCACAAATGGGTTATTGTTAATTGCTCTAATTTAATTTCAGTCCTGTTGGTTTTGATTTCAAAGTCACACCCAAAATGGCTGGCCTCCTTCATAATAACTGTGGGATCTGCAGCTGTTTGGGATGAGGCAGAGAGGTGGTCAGTGGAAGGCTTAGGCTGGAAACACCAACAGATCCAGGAAAAGTGTCTCGTATCTAGTGGATGCGGACTGCTCAGGAAGGGCTGTCTGGGCTTGCAGGCAGCAGAGGTGGGGCAGAACTGTGCCTTCCCCTTTGCCCTGTTGCCCTCAGTATTTCTGTGGCCCTTGTCACGGCCTCAGTTGTTTACCGATGGGTGCTGGAGCTGGGATGCCCTGGAGGAAGGTCTGCACCTCCCACTGCAGCCAGTCGTGGGAAGCCTGCTGGTCCACCCCACGCGGACACTGCATCCCTGCGGGCAGGCAGCTTGTGGGACCCTGGGGTCCTGCAGGGATGCTGGGGAGCTATTTCCCTCAGAGCTGGAGAGAAATCAGCCCCAGACCAAACACTGAGCAAAACTCTCTGGGGAGGGATCCTGGTGATGGCGAGAAGTGCCTCTCGCAGCATTTCCCTGCTGTGCTCCCAGAGATCACAGTCCTTCCTTGCTTCCTGGCACCCTGTGTCCAGCACGAAGCTGTGACAGAATCACATCCCACCCACCGCAGTGCAGGGGGGACACGCACTCCCTGGGTCAGGGACATAAACATATGGAAGAACGTTGATCATCTTTCCTCAGGACACTGCTGTCAAGTCATAATTTTGCATTTACCAGTTTCCATGGCAACACATTGGCTCATAGCCTGCCAGTGACAGGCCAAAGACATGTGCGTGCTAGAAGTGCTTGCTGCTGGCAAAATAAGCCCAAGGATAAACATTTTAAAGAAAGCTGAGCACCTGCCTCCTCCAGTGTCTGAAGCTCCCTCGGCAGCAAAGGTGTGAGCCCAAAATGTCTCCCACTGAACTGCCCCCAGAATTGCTTCCCATCCCTGCTTCTGCTCCCTGCTGCCATTAAAACATGCCATTAAGTGGAGGGGTTGCCTGTCTGGGGCTGGGGCCTGGCTACAGAGACTAGACTCAAGCAGCTGTGGAGCTGGGTCAGCTCTGAGAAGATAACCCCGTGTTGACCATTTGCCCCTTGTTGAGCAGTCAGCAGTGCAGGAACACTTCTCCAAGCAGATCTGGATGGGTCTGTGCACACCCAGTCTGGCATCCTCAGCTTTCAGGCTCTCCTCTCCGCTGGCTTTGCTAGGTCTCAGTGCTTGAAAACACCTCGAGGGCAGAGTGCTCATGGGCAATGGACCTGCCTCCTTCTGGTCTGAGTTGCATGCAATAAACATTAAAAATTGCTCTGTGGATGCAGGCTGAGGATTGAGGGAGCCCTCATGACTTTGCATATCTCTGTTAAGTAGCTAGTGGGGCTGAGATTAGTAGAGGGATCCAAAACTGGACATGGGATATGGGTGTACATCATTACTTCCAGCTTGTTAGGCGGGGACTGCGGGGAAGGATAAGCATCCTAAACTGTAAAGGTCAGAAAGGAAGTCTTACTCTATGATGATTAATCCAAGAATAATGGGGTTTATACATCTGGCTCCATTTAGAGATAACACTGGTCTCCAGATAATCCTCTGCTCTTCCCTTCAGTTCAGAGTAGAGTGGCCTTTCCAGAGGGCTAGAAATAGAGCACTGGGGAGGGACTTTCATAGAGAAAGTACACAAGGCAAAACGCTTCACAGACGATGCAGCACCTGGCCAGGTGCACAGGATCATTTCTTTAAAAGTTTGATCCAAAGACCTAATAGAGTTGTCTGCTGGATCCAGGCAAAGTGAGCCCTGCCAGGATGTGGCGGTGTTGTCCATAGTGTTCCCCTTGACCCTGTGAGTCCCCAGCAGAACTTGGCACAGCTCTGCATCGGACTCTTTGTCTGCCGCTCTGCAGTCCTTAGACAACATGCAGAGGATTAGGATGGGAGACAAGAAGAACCTGGTTGCCCTCTGTGACTCATTCCTCTACCACTCTGTGTATGGCTTTCCTCCCTGTGTAATATCTCAAAGAGCCTTGAGATGTCTAGCTAGAAAGCATGACTGAAGCCCTTTTTTTTGTGATCAAGTTTTCATCTGATCACACTGACCTTCCTAGAGTTGGAGATCTCTTTGAAAATAAGGGAAGTATATGTTGTAAGGAGGAGAGGAGCAGTTAACTGCCTGTCAGCTCTTCAGCTTTTCCATCAATTGTCTTCCCTCTTGTTTTTTAAACTTACCGGCAAAACTTCTGGTGCCATCAGGCAAAGGAGTAATTTTTTTTCAATCGGTATTTGCTGGAGGGAGGGGAACAATTCTGATTCCTCCTTTCTGAACTGCATGTTCCATCTGTAATTAGTAACAGGCTGGGGCAAGCCTGGCTTGCACGAAGAGGAAACTTCTCTTTAAGGTGGAAGAAATTATTGGCTGGAATTTTATCTCCAGCACAATTTAAATAAAACACAGTTGATGGGGAACCTAGAGAAATTAGCCAGAAAGAATTGCATGCAGTAGTGGAAGTACAGCACAGCGAGTGCCTCTCCCTCTGAGCTGCCAAAGTGATACCGTTTTCTGCTGAGTGTGTCTGAGATCTGATCACGGCCGCTGGCTCCCAAGAAGTTAAGGTTGAGTTTTGACTCTCTGGCTATCCTGGCAAATGGTCAAATGCCAGTTGTGGAGAAAGCCAAGGGAGTTGCTGTTTGAGGAGGTGTAGAGAACCTACCCCACCTCAGGCTGTGCTCAGGGCTCAGCCTTGAGACACGTAGATCTTCAGCTGGAGTCAGAGGGGGTCTGAGGAGCCTGGTAGTCTCCAAGCTGCAGCTGTCCTTACAGCCGTTTCTCTTTGTGTGCTCTTTTACCAAGAGAGATTGCTGGGGTGATGAAGTAGGCGTATCATTAGATTGGAGAGGGTTGGCAGTTCAGTTTGGGACAGGCTGACCATATGACATCCCTTGGGAGTAGTGTCCTACTTTCAGTATCACCAGGAATCCCTATTGTTAGCCTGTAAGTGGAGCCAAGGGATACCCTCCTCTCCTGTTTCTGTACAGTAGTCCCCCAGGCGATGCTAGTTGGGGCAGATTCATTGCTGGGGTCTTCCTTGTAGAGCTCCCTGCTGTAGATTATTCCCCACCCACAATGAATGGGGCTGTGGTCTTCCCTGTACAGCTCACTGCTCTGGAATGAAGGCAAAAAAAATAATAATGCCAAAGCAGCAGGGGAAAGAGAGTGCCAATAAAGATAAATGATTTCCTAATTAAGCCTGGAGACAAGGAGGGGCAAAGAGAACTGTTGAAGCCTTGTGGGAGCCAGAGTGAACCCAAGCAGGCTATACCACCGCTCTGGCAGGGGTCTTCAGGCTGACATTTTTAAACAAAGGAAAAAGCTCATTTGACAATGGATATTGCAAGAGCAATTCCAGATGCCTTGAAGCTAAGACTCTTCTCAAGCACCGGTGTTGTTATAATCACCAGGGGAGCTTCTGCCTTGCTAACTCTCACGATGTCATTATAACTCTCCAATATTTGGGATTTGGTATTAGCTGCTGAAGGCGCTTTATTGGAGGGGGGTGTGAAGGAGAGCATCTCCTTTGTTTGTCTGTTGTTTTAAAGGAAATGATGGACATCATCTTGGCCAATGCACCTGGGACTGAACCAGGGAATTTGAGAACTGAAAGGAGAAGCAGTTGGGTCTTGAGCTAGAACAATCCACCAACTTTGCAAGCTGGGGCTCCTAAGAGATTCAGGGAATGGGCATTTAATCAAACTTCACTGAGTTATAGTGGCTACACAAGTTACGGCCAGATGCTGGGCTGCTTCCACTGATGGTGTGTGCAAACTTAGAGGTGGAAGGAACTTTATGTGCCTGAAATTTTGTGTGGTTTTTCCAGCGAAGTTGTCTGCTTAAAAAATAAATAAAT